GGGAGGCCGCCTGAGCCAGGAGGGGCCAGAGCCAAGCAGGGCTCAGCGGAGACACCTTCCCTTCCCCCCCCCCCGGGAGTTCTCTGTGTGGTCTTGGGCGGAGGCTGAAGAGCGAGGGAGGGGGCGCTGGCTGGGCCTGGCTGGGCCTGGGTGCAACCTGGCCTCCTCCCTTGACACATATGCGCATGCACAAATACACCAGGTGGGGACAAGGCCTTCTGTCCTTCTGCATGAGGACAGTGGAGAGAGATTTTAAAAGGGAGAGTCGTTCACACACACACACACACACACACACACACACACAATGACTTTCACAACAGCCCCTGCACAATGCAAACAGGCAAACCCACCACCACCACCACCACCGAGGAAGGGAGGGAGGGCTCATACACAGCCCCCTTCTATCACATGCACGCCTCCAGCTCTCTCGAGGACACAGTGCCTGCCTGGCCCTCGTGCAAGAACCACCAGCCCTCCCCCAACAAGCGGATACTGCAGCCTTGGTTCTGCGTCTCAGGATGCGACTGACATTTTGCGTGTGTGTGTGTGTGTGTGTGTGTGTGTGTGTGAGAGAGAGAGAGAGAGAGAGAGAGAGAGAGAGAGAGAGAGAGAGGGGGGCGCCGCTGTGGGGGGCCAAGAAGGGCCACTAACCCACAGAGCCAGACGGGGCCCTGGAAGGGCACCAGCAGGAAATCCACCGCCAAGGTGACCCGGCCAGGAGTCCCTCCGACAGCCACTTAAGGCTCTCCCATGAGATGGAGAAGGCTTTCCAAAGAGAGGTGCGGGTGGGGGAGCCGGTGGATTGGGGGAGAGGAGGATTGGTTCATGGGGTGCCTCGCGGGGAGCAGAGGTGGTATCTTCTTGGGTAAGAAAAGTGGGGGTGCAGGGAGGTCGCACAAAGCACTCTCTCTCTCTCTGCCTGTCGCTCCTGGGCCAGACCGGGTGACAAGCAGCGCCCTGCGACTGGAGTTTGGTGCTCAGCACCCTACAGAACGGGTCGGCACCCAGTCCTCCTGGCAGAGGAGGAAGGCGAGGGTTCCAAACGGAAGACGCCCCCCCCCCCTTGCTGGCTCACCTTCTGCACGGAGATCAGGGCCTCCTGCGTGTCGCTGTCTGTGGACACCCGAAACGCACCCTGCCCGTCCTCGTCCTTGATCTGGTAGGTCATGTCCGTGTTCTCGCCCACGTCGGCATCCTCGGCTTTGACTCTGCCGATCAGGGTGCCCACGGGAACCGTTTCCGAAATGCTGAACTGGTACATCTCTGGTGGGAAGGAGCAGTCAGGGGTTCAGGCCCACCTCTTTGCCCCCCAAAGACCAGGCCCCGCCAGGCCGAGGGCACCGAGGGGCAGGGCAACTGGGCCACCGTCGGAGCAGGAGGGAGTACTGGCTCGAGGGCGCCTCTCCTTTCGCTCTCGTGGCTCAGAGGCTCCCCCACGCCCTGCTATGCACAGACCAAGTGGGGCTCCTCAGCCTGGCACAGTGGGCATGTGGCACAGCCACTGTGGCACCACTCTCTGTCAGGCAACAGGTGACCAGTGGTGGCATCTGCCCCCCTGCCAGTGGTCCTTGCCACCCGTGGCTAAGAGACCGGCCAACCCTCCTGCCTCTCCCCTCATCCCTGCCCCCATCCTGCCAGGCAAGGCCACCAACGCTCACTCTGTGGGAAGCGCGGGGGGTTGTCGTTGACGTCCGTGATGACGATGGTGACGGTCGTGGAGCCAGAGAGGCCTCCCAGCTGCCCAGCCATATCCGTGGCCCGGATGACCACCTCATACCGGTCCTGGGTCTCGCGGTCCAGGTTGGCCACCGCCGTCCGGATCACACCTGCAAGAGGCCACGGGACATTTGCCAATGGGCAAAGAGCGGGCGCCGTCAGAGCTCCCAGCGGCTCCTGCCGCAGCCGCTCGACCCTGCCTCCCTCGTGCCAACGAGGATGCCACGCTTGCACAGAGATGTGCGTGGTCTCTCCCTGAGAGCAAGCCTCCTCCTCAAGGCGTCCCAGCGCAGGTGCTCCCACCGTCCCGCCGGCTGCTCTCAGAAGGACAGAAGGGCTCCAAGGGCCAAAGCAAACCCTCTGCCCCCCCCATGCAATCCACAGCCACCCCACCTCCCGTAGCGCATCACAGGGGCCAAACCAAGTAGGCATTCTGCCCCCCCACACACACATACCCTGCCCCCGCAGGGCCCTCTTGGCTTCACAGGTGGTATGAAAGGAGAGATGCCCCCCCCCCCAGCCAGAGCGTCTCTGAAGGCGAGGCGCAAGGTGGACCAGCCTCCTGAGACGGGTCGGCTCTCGTGGGTCCTCCCCCAGCAGGCAGCAAGAAGACCCAGGCTGCCAATGCCCGCCCGGAGGCGGAAGAGTCTCTGCCTGGCGGGCTCTCAGGCCCCCCCACCCGGGGCAGAGGGTCCGGTCGGTCGGCACAGCCCGCCGCCTCTCCCTGTCCTTCCCACCCCCTTCCTCCACCTTTTAAAAGTGAGAAGAAGGGAAGGAAGCAGGGAAGGAGGTGCCACCAAGGGCGGCCGCCTCTCCCTCACCTGACCCGCCTCCCCTTCTCACCTGTGCAGGGCCGGGGTGAAAACAGCACCCGCGTGAGCTCCCCGGGGCTGGAGCGGGCCCGACCGACCCCTGCAAGCCGTTGGTGGCAGGGCTGGGGGGGAGTGCGTGTGTGTGTGTGTGTGTGTGCAAGGGATGAGGAATGAGAAGGCCCACAGAGCCGCAGGGGCAGCCACGCAGCACCTGCGCCACACCTGCTGGGGCTGAGGGTGGGCAGGTCGAGGCTCCTTCAGCCACCCCTTTCCATCCCTCGCCCCCCCCACTTGTTGGCACACCCACGTGCAGGAGCATGAATCTGTCCGGCATGAATCTTGCAACCTCCGCCTGGCATGGGGGGGTGGGGGGAGCACATGGCATGGCCCAGTTCAGAGAGGCTCAGCAGCATGCGCCACACCTGCTGGGGCTGAGGGTGGGCAGGTCGAGGCTCCTTCAGCCACCCCTTTCCATCCCTCGCCCCCCCCACTTGTTGGCACACCCACGTGCAGGAGCATGAATCTGTCCGGCATGAATCTTGCAACCTCCGCCTGGCATGGGGGGGTGGGGGGAGCACATGGCATGGCCCAGTTCAGAGAGGCTCAGCAGCACAGCANCCTTCCCTCTGGGCCCCTTCCTTCGATCCAGCGGGGAGGGAGCGGAGGGGAAGGCGCCCGCCCGGGAGCCTCCGCCCTTGCAGAAGGATCCGGACCGTTGCCAAACAGCTGGAGAGCCCAGGGACCTTCAGGCGTCCAGCTGCGGAGACCAGAGGTTGGGCGTTCGCTTCCCCTACGGGGCCTCCTTGACAGGGGCTGGACTCGGTGGTCCCTTAGGGTCCCCCCCCTCCGCGCCTGCTGACAGATTGGGCCGCCTTCCAGATCATGCCATGGGGGGTGCGGGGGGAAGGACCGCTTCCCTTGGCTTCCAGAGCCAGAAGAGAGGCAGCCCCAGGTCGCTCTCTGGGAAGCTGAAGAAGCGGGGGGGAGGGGGTCCCTCCAAACACGCAGAGCCTGGCCTTCCGTCCCCTTGAAGGGGCACCAAGTGGGGCCGCAGCCCCAAACGTTCAGAAGACGACAAGCTTCCTGGTGCTCTCCCGTGCCTGCCTCTCTCCCTCCCGCTCGGCCGGCCAGCCGGCTGTGCTTCCTCCTGAAATCGGGGCCCCCAGAGACCCCCAGAAACCATGCCTGTGCCACCCAAACTGAGCCGGGCTGGGAGCAAGGGGACCGCTCAGCCCATCACCACGCCTGGCCCTCCGTGCTCCGGAGGGTGCCTGGAGCTGCCTCACGCTTCGCAAAGCCCCAGGCAGGAGAGGAAGGCAGGCCCTTGGGGCTCCAGAGACGAGGAAAAGTGGCCTCTGGCCTCCTTCTGTCCTGCCGGCCCTTCGCGCCCAGGGCAGCCTGCCCCACACCTGCCGTCCGGCCGAGGGATGGAGGGAGGCACCTGGGAGGCGATTCCGGCAGGCAAGGGGGGGGCTAAGGTGCCCCCTTGGCCTGCTGCTGAGGTGCCCCCTCTTGGCAGGACAGGCCTCCTCCTTTACTCAGTGGGAGAGGCGGGTGAGATGGTCCCGGGGTCGGAGCAAGGCTGACTGGATGGGGGGCTGGCTGGATGGGGGGCTGCTTTGCCCACTCCCCAGCACGCCAGAGATCCAGACTGAGTGGCACCTGAGTGGCACTTTCTGGTACCAGGGAGACTGGGAGGATGGAGGCTGCTCTCCTGCCCTGCCCACACCAAGCTGCAGTCTGGAGCGGGCTGCCAACCCATGGCGTACTCTGTAGTCAGAGCCCACAAGGTGGGGGGGGGATAGGGGGGCTCCCCCCAGGCCCCTAACAGATGGGGCCTAAAGACTTAGCAGAGGGCAGAGAAGCCTAAGACGGCACAGAATGAGGCTAAATCCGAAATCCCTCTTGTCATTAAATATTAATTTCCACTTTACATCAGCAAATACAGCCAAAATTTCCCAGGAAGACCTAGCAGGGGGGAGCCGTGTGCCAACAGCTCCCCCCAAAGCTGGGGCAGAAGAGGAGGAGGGGGGCTGGTTAAGCTGCCCGCGCCACGCCTGTGAGATCGGATCCTGCAGAACCGCAAAGCCTGGGAGGGAGAGGTGCCTGGGTCAACGGGAGGCTTGTCCTGAAGAGTCAACCCCTCCCAGCCACGGATGGTGCCTTCCTCTCCTGCCCCAGACCTGGTGCCATCCCCTCCCCTCCCCTCCTGCCAGCTCCTGCCCTTCTCTGCCCAGGAAGGCTGGCAGCCCCAAGCCCTCTTCCCTCGCTGACCTAGGCTGGTCTTGGAAATGGCCAGCAGTGGGAGAGGGCCCAGGGTTCCCCCAAACCCCACCTCACATTCTCAGGGTGCACTTGGTCCCGCTGCAACACCCACACGGGTCTGCCTGGGGCTGCGGGGGCTGAGGGGGGCTGGGGATATGAGCTCACGTCCGGTCTGCCCAGGCCTTCTGGAGTGGGCAAGGCAGGAGAAGAGTGGGTCAAAGTCAGAAAAGGGACAGCAAGCGCTTCTCCATTATCGTATATTACAGAAAATGGATGTGCCAGATTTTATGGCTCCTTTTACAGCGTTAATGATCACAGAGGCTCTGCAAGTTAAGTTGCTGATATGGGCAATTAAACCTTATGTTCTGGGCACAGGAAGGGATTGCCAGGCAGAGCAGCGGCACGGGCGCCTCATGGGCACCCCTGCCCCGTCCTTGGCCTCCGCCCTGAGCGGGAGGGTGGCACCAGGCTGTGCCCACAAGCCCTGGCTGCCCCTTCCGTCAAGGCTGCCCGAGGAGCCCGCTCGCTCAGGCCCTTCCTTCCCCGGCCTCCGAAGGCTTCTCAGGCCACCAGGACAGCTTTGGGGAGAGTGGCGTGCAAACCGGCTGCCGGCCAGGAGCCCCAGGAAACGCTCCCCACCCACCCAGACGCCCGGCTCAGTTTGTCCTGCCTGGCACACTCTCCCTGCTAGGCAAAGCCTTTCCTTGGCAAGCGCCCCTGCTCGGAGCGCCTTGGCAGTACCAGGTGCCCCCATGGCACAGGCATCCGCACCAAGCGCCCCCTCCCCGGAATGCCACCCGCCCACCCCACCAGCAGGACCTGGGCAGGGCAGAAGAGGCTGGCCCTGGGGGAGGAGAGAGCCCTCGCCCACCCCCGAGCCCCTTACGAACAGAGCTCCCTGGGTGACTCCCCACTCCTGCCCCTCCCACTCAGCCGTGGGGGGCGGGACACCCCCACTCACCCCACTTTTCCTTCTCCCCTCTGCTCTCAGCAGGCTGTCACAGCATCCTCATCATCTGCTTGGGATTTATCGCAGGCACATTTTACAGCCAGCTTTATTAGAAGTTATTAAAGGATGGAGCGGCTTCCACTGTTCGTTCATTAAATATTAATACAGCATTTATAAAGCAATCCTTAATTTAAAGTGTTACCTTTAATCAAAGGCCCTGTGCTAACAATGGGCCCTGAGATCGGGGGAGGGGGCTTCGCATTCCAAAAAGAGCAGGGGGGCCCCGGGGCTGTGACCCCTTCCGCAGTCACAGCCACGCAAGCGCCCCGAGCGAGGAGGAGGAGGAGGAAGCCAGGGGCTGGGGCTCCCCCAGGCAGGGAGCGAAGAAGGCCACTGAAAGCCGGCCGGGGGGGTGTGTGTCCTGACGCGCTCTGGGCCAGCTCCGTGTGAACGGCACGCCCTGGCCAAGCACTGGTGGAGGCCGAGAGGCTGGACGCCCTCCTCCTTTGGGGAGAGCCAAGAGGAGACCCTCCTGCAAGGACCCTGCGGAGCAGGACCTGCCCCCCGCCCATGGACAGAGCCCTGGGAGGCCCACCTCAGCCCCCCCCCGGCCTCACCTGTCCTGCTGTCCACTGTGAAGTGCTCCTCTCCCTCCAGGCTGCTGTAGACCACCCGGGCACTGCTTCCATAGGTGGGATCGTCTGCATCTGAAGCAATCACCTGCATCACCGAGGTCCCTGGGAGGGGGGCAGGAGGGGGAGAAGAAGGGGCCCTGAGTGGGCGTCCGCTTGCCCCCCC